AGGCTGGTGGGGGGGGCATTTGGGGGCAAGCAGGCTGGCGGCAGGGGGCAGTTGGGGGTGAGCAGGCCGGCAGGCAGAGTGGTTAGGGGCAATCAAGCAGGCAGGCAGGCAGGTGAGTGGTTAGGAGCCAGCAGTCCCGGATTATGAGAGGGATGTCCGACTGCAGGTTTAGGCCCAATCCCTGTAAACTGGCAGTAGGACATCCTTCGAGGGGTCCCAGATTGGAGAGGGTGCAAGCCGGGCTGAGGGACACCCTCCCCCCCACCCCCCGCACGAATTTTGTGCACCAGGCCACTAGTGTAGGTATGTGTCTTGACTAGGAATCGAACCTGCAACGTTTTCGTGCATGGGACAGTGCTCCAACCAACTGAGCCACCCAGCCAGGACACAGTTTTTAATCCATTTTGAATTTATTCTTGTATACATTAAACTAAAAAGTTTTTGCACAGCAAAGGAAACCATCAACAAAACAAAACACAGCCTACCAATTGGGAGAAAATATTTGCCAATGATAGCTCTGATAAGAGTTTAATATCCAAAATTTATAAATAACTCATGTAACTTAACACTAAAAAAATAAGCAATCCAATTTAAAAATGGGCAGAGGACCTAAATAGACATTTCTTCAATGATAATATTCAAATGGCCAATAGACATATGAAAATATGTTCAGTATCACTAGTCACCATAAAATCACAATAAGATATCACCTCATACCAATCAGAATAGCTATAATCAATAAATCAACAAACAAGTGTTGGCAAGGATGTGGAGTAAAAGGAACCCTTGTGCACTATTGGTGGGAATGCAGACTGGTGCAGCCACTAAACAGTATGTAGGGTCCTTAAAATTTAAAAATAGAACTACCTATCACTCAGCAATTCCTTCTGGTTATTTATCCCAATAAATTCAAAACACTAATTCGAAAATATATATGTATCCCTCTGTTCATTACAGTGTTATTTACAATAGCCAAAATATGCAAGCAACCTAAGTGCCCATCAATAGACAAATGGATAATGAAGATGTGGTACATTTATACAATGGAATATTACTTGGGCATACAAACAATGAAATCTTACCATTTGCAACAACATGGATAGATCTAGAAGGTATTACACTAAGTGAAAAAAATCATACAGAGTAAGTCAAATGCCATGTGATTTCACTTATATGTGGAATCTAAAGAACAAAACAAGCAAGCAAACAAATAAAAACAGAAACAGACTCATAGATACAGAGAACAAGCTGATATTTCCAGATGGGAAAGGGACTTTGGGGGCTGGGTGAAAATGGTTAAGGAATTAGAAAGTACAAATTGATACTTACAAAATAGTCATGGGTATATAGTCAATAATACTGTAATAACTATGTATAGTTCCAGGTGGGTACTAGAGTTATTGGGGGGATCACTTTGTAAATTACATAAATAATTATCCACTATGTTGTACACTTGAAATAAATGTAAAATAATATTGAATGTGAACTGGGATTGAAAAATAAAAAAAGAACTAAAATAAAATACTTTAATCACAGTTTAATTCCAAGTGGGGCTCTAGTCCATTTTAGGGCTATTTATGTCTAGTTCACCCTTACTCATACAGTGTGAACCTCCACAGACCTAACTTAAATATGAGTGCTTTACCCGGCCTACACGGTCTTCATCCTAGGTAAGCCATGAACTCTTAACTTTTCTCTCACTGGACTGTTATTCTACTGAAAGCTGTAATGACCTTCTCTGCCCACTCTGTTGACTGGCAAACAGCTGCTTATTCAAGAATTCACAGATGCTTCTGGGAAAATGCAGCCCTAAAAGCTGAGCTCATTTCTCTTGGTTACCATCTTTTCCTAGATATTTGCCCTTAAGTTAAACTTCCTTGATCAGTCTCTAATGTTCTCAAATCAATTCAAAACAAATTTAAATACACTAACACATGTACACACACACCATACACACAGGGGCATGCATGCATATATCCAGTGTTTTTAGTTTTTCTCACAAGGAGGTTTGGCCCTAATTATCTAGCCGACTGTTATGAGAAGTAGGTTTCTATAATTTTCTTTGCTTTTTGCACATGACATCCTAGAATATGAAGTACTGCTGTGTGGACACTATATCCTATGTATCCAGAACCTAATTGGCTGCCTGTCACACAATAAACAATTACTAGGCTAAAAAAAAATAACATGTCAAATTCTCGACAAGTAATTAGAAGGTGTGATTTCATGGTGAGAAAAGAACAGAATCAGTTCGGCTGGCGTGGCTCAGTGGTTGAGCTTCAACCTATGAACTAGGAGGTCACAGTTTGAGTCCTGGTCAAGGTACATGCCTGGGTTGCAGGCTCGATCCCCAGTAGGGGGGATGCAGGAGGCAGCCAATCAATGGTTCTCATCATTGCTGTTTCTATCGCTCTCTCTCTCCCCCTTCCTCTCTGATATCAATAAGAATATATATATATATTAAAAAGAATAGAATCAGATATCATTTTAAGATTTCTAAATGTGGATAATGGTCATACTATTCTCAGAAATGAAAAAAGTCAAGACAGTGGAAAAGCTCGGCTGGTGTGGCTCAGTGGTTGAACACTGACCTAGAAACCAGGAGATCAGGGATGGATTCCGGGTCAGGGCACATGCCCGGGTTGTGGGCTCGATCCCCAGTGTGGGGCATGCAGGAGGCAGTCAATCAATGATTCTCTCTCATCATTGATGTCTCTCTCTCTCCCTTCCTCTCTGAAATCAATAAAAACATTAAAAAAAAAAAAAAAAGACAGTGGAAAAGAGGAATAGAATTGGTTGAAAGTTGACTTTGGTTTTTGGACATGGCTGACTCTGATGTATTCATGAGGTACTTAAGAGAAGCTGTTCAGATAAAACTGAGGAATGTAGATTTGAAGTTCTCAAAAGAGATGGAGCTGGATACAAGATTTGTTGTGAGGGTAATTACTGAGAGGAAATATAAAGAGATAAGAGATGGAAGCTTTGTACAAAACATTAGAGAATACCTAGATACACTTAGGGGATGATAAAGGAGAAATACCCTTAAAGAAAATAGATAAATGTTTAGAGTGGGCAAAGAAACTTAGAGGAATGCAGCTTAATGGAAGATAATGAGAAAGAGAGTTTGGAGAAAAGCAATTATCATGGCCAAATGTGGGTGAAATCAATGAAGCTCTGGGATGAAAGTCGTCCTAACAAATGCCACCCATCTTCTGAGTAGTAAAGGAAGGCAGGAATGTGGAAGGTTGAAGAGATTTAAATTTTTAAGTAAGAATAAAGGTTTAGAAAAGAATGTAGATGATTTTAACTGGTCATTAATAAACAAATTAGTGAACAGATTTGAGGTCTTAAAAGAAGGCAGATAATCAATATTTGAGTGGACATGATTTGCAAAACTTTGTGACATTTTTCAACAAGGTTTGCATCATGGGGTGGGGTCAAGAGACAGAGCTAGTTCTCAGGAAAACAAGAAATTCGCTTATAGATGTTTTAAAGACTGGTAAATCCTATAAAATAAAGCCCTAATATGCAAATCAACCAAACGACAGAATGACGGGTCACTAAGATGCACACTGACCACCAGGGGGCAGGCACTCAATGCAGGAGATGCCCCCTGGTGGTCAGTGTGCTCCCACAGGGGGAGTGCCACTCAGTCAGAAGCTGGGTTCATAGCTGGTGAGAGTGCAGCTGCGGTGACGGGAGCCTCTCCCACCTCTGCTGCAGGCAGACAGTAAGGAATGAGGGGTCCTGGACTGCAAGAGTCCCGGACTGTGAGAGGGATTTCTGAGTGCCTTAAGGTGGCAGGTGGACATCCCTTGAGGGGTCCTGGACTGCGAGAGGGCACAGGTCGGGCTGAGGGACAGCCCCCACTAGTGCACGAATCTCGTGCACTGGGCCTCTAGTAGATGGAAAAGAGAATGGAGATTAGGATACAGATTTGGGAGTTATCTACATAGAAAAGACAGTTGAAACCAACAGTATATGCAGATATTTGTGTCATAAATTCTTTCAGTAAAAAATGATTTCCTCTTACAGAGAAATAACAGCTAATCTAAAGTAGCTTCTATCTTCATTAATATGTGTAGATTAGTTTTTGAGAAACTGAAAGTTTCCTTATTGTAATTTGAAGAATAATCCTATTAAAATTGGTTGGCTATAAAAATTCTAAAATTATAATTAAAAATAAGACATTCATAAAACTTGCTAGGATTACAAATGTATTCTTGAGTACAGCAGTTATTGCATCAATATTATGGAAAAATTCTCCAACCCCTTGCTTTTGCATAAGCAAGGCATTATTTGGGGAAATCAGAAACAGTAACAAAAGCATATGTAAGGCTACTGTTCTACCAGTAGAGACACGAATGGCCAAAATGTTTATAATCAACATCTGTTCTTATTGGTTAAGTGGTTAATGAAGTATTATTTGTGTACCATTTTATTTTTTAAAAATATATTTTATTGATTTTTTACAGAGAGGAAGGGAGAAGGATAGAGTTAGAAAATCAATGAGAGAGAAACATCAATCAGCTGCCTCCTGCACACCCCCTACTGGGGATGTGCCCACAACCAAGGTACAGGCCCTTGACCGGAATCAAGCCTGGGACCCTTCAGTCCACAGGCCAATGCTCCATCCACTGAGCCAAACCGGTCACAGCAGTTGTGTAACATTTTAAATATAACTCCTGCTCCAATGATATTATATTTACCAAATTATTTATATATAACATTTCAATACTACTAAAATTCTAAAGTACATTTTGCATATATTACTTTATCGTTATAACAATCTTTCACAACAAATAGGAATCATTTGAGCCTTCACCTTAATGATTAACCCAGATACAGTTATTGCATACTTCTTTGTTACTTACTGAAATTATGCTCAAATTAAAAGCTTTTCCTACCAATAAAGTGACCCTGAATAAATTTATCTGCAAACTAAAAGCCACTTCACATACAATACAGCAGTTATTCTTATTAAAATAAAATTATCATACCATTTGGTGATGCCATAACAATCTTTAATAATATCCTGAAGGACAGCACGATAGAAGAGTGATTCAGTAGGCAGCTGAAAAAAATGTAGACATATATAAACACAAGAACAAATAACAGAAATCAAATCCATACACGAGAGTTGGGACCATAAGTGAATGTTAAAAACCTGATGTGAAACCTAAGATACAATTTTTTATAATTTTTCCATTCTAAGTTAAAATGTTACCAAAGAAAAATGAGCTAACATTCCAAATGGAGTGCTTATCCTATCTAATAATAGACAAACATGGTAATTAACCATAACTTCGCTACCCTTCCCATTGGCTAATCAGGGCAATATGCAAGTTAACTGCCAACAAAGATGGTGGCTAACTTGCATAGGTAGGTGCAATGATGGGAGGCGAAAGGGGAAGGACGGAAGAATGGTGATCGGAAACCCAGGTGGCAGGAAACAGCCGGGTGGCAGGGTAAAGGCACTTTGCCCTGCCCCCCACCCTGGATCCCAAGAACCCGGGCAAAGGCCCGCCCCCCAGCTGGTGATCAGAGAAGCTGGGCGGGGCAGAGAAGAGGCCGCCAGTGTCTGCCTCTTCCCTGCCCCCAACCCGGTGGTGATTGGTGACCCCTCGAGGCAGGGAGGGACCCAGAACACGGAAGCCATCCTGTCTGGCCGTGGGGGACCCGATCGCATCCCCGGCGGCGAGGCAGGAAGGGACTCAGAACAAACGGAAGCCAGGTCTTTTTTTTTTTTTTTTTAGATTGTGTAATTATTTATTACAAATAAACAGTGGTTTCACATCTGTCAAAAACAGGTCCTCTTTTTACATGTGTGTGCAGGTTTTGATGTACAAGAAAGGGTCATGTGCTTAGTTCGTCTATGCAAAGCTCACAGGTACATCACTAAATACTTTAAAGGCCTAAGCCTTTAGTTGGACATCTCCCGAGGGCTCCCTGGCTGCCAGAAGGATGTCTGACTGCAAGGTTAGGCCTGATCCCCCGGGGAGTGGGCCTAAGTCAACAGGTGGACATCCCCCAAGGGGGTCCTGGACTGTGACTGGGCACAGGCCAGGCTGAGGGAACCGCCCCCCTGCCCCCGAGTGCACAAATTTTTGTGCACCGAGCCTCTAGTCAGTTAAATATGTAGAAATAAACTTTCATAATAAGCCACATCTGTGTAAGACAGAATATATGTGAAAAAGAATGTGGCTTTGTCCTAATGGTGGCGGACTAGAGATGATATTATCTAGGATCAACATCCAGAAAGAGATGGTACTACCCTAAGTAAGGTCACATTAAAAATATGTCTGAGGCCTGAATGATCATAGCATTGGCTACTTGTAGGTTGGAAAAAAAGAACCTTCAATCAACATAGTATCAGAGATTGAAGTCTTGGCAAGGCTTCATTTCCTGGGGAAAAAGAGGTAGGAGGTGTCCATGAAGGTACAAAGGTTTCCCCAAAGGTAAAAAGGAATGGATGAAGACAAGGGCCCCAATGAAGCGTGATAGTTTCACAGAAGCAGAAGGTAAAAACAATATTATATAGTTGACCCTTGAAAACATTATGGTTAGGGGCAATGACCTCCACACAGTCAAAAATCTGTGTATAACTTTTATGTTTCCCAAAACTTAAGCTATCCCTCAGTAATATGAGGGGGACTGGTTCCAGGACCCCTTGCAAATACCAAAATCTGTGGATGCTTAAGTCCCTTAAATAAAATGGCAGAGATCAATGCACACGGTTGGCCCTCCACCTCCATGGACTCTCAACCATGGCTAGAAAACAGTATAGGAATTTATTGGAAAAAAAAAATTCACATACAAGTGGATCCATAGAGTTCAAACCCATACTGTTCAAGTGTCAACACAGAGAAAGAGTGCACAGAGAAAAGGGTATTTTACAGTAGCAATGCAATAGGTACTTTTAATCCAAGAAACTACGAAATTCATTAAACTCCATTCACATCCCCAAAGATCTGTTGATATTGAGTAGAGAAAAATCAAACTCAAAATAATATCCCATGCAGTTATTAGAAAAAAAGAAAAGAAGCAAGAATGGAGGGAAGTCAACAATATTAACTGCTTTTGAGAACTCAAATAAGATAAAATCTAAAAACTGTCCAATGACTTGATACAGTTTTAAAGATAAGAGTTCAGTGAAATGTATATATTCACTGAGTTATCCTTTTGTAACTCCTATTTTTCATCAAAGACCAAACATTGTTATTTTCATCTGCTTCAACTGGAATGTTTGGATTCAGATGGAGTTTAGCACAAAATAAATTTCGCCTGTGTGCTCAGGAAGAAAACCTACTTGCTGTCCCTCTCCCCTATCTAATGTCAAGTTCCTACACAGGGGGCCTCAGATGCTGAGACTCAAAACACCACAAATTGAGAGTTGAAGGTCCACCATTATATCTTGGGTCTTCGCCTGATGGTACTACCTTCTTAAGTCACTGAAGAATGTCTTGTAGGATCCTAATAGAGCACTTTGAATGAACATATGTGTCTTTTCTGGATGGTGGGAGTAGTGTGGAGGGTGATTATAGTAAGAATGGCATTGGGAATACCAGCCCCTGTCTCAATTCTTGCAATAACTCACTAAAAGCAGACATACACACATACTTGAGTGCCCACACAAAAATTTATAACCTTTAAAAGGCACATTTCTTATATAATTTTTTTTCCCAAATGCAACTCCTTGAGACTTCCACTTTCCTTTCCTGAAACATTTCATATTCTAAACATTCATACTTCAAAACATTTTATTCAAAATTTCCAATCTTTGGATATATTTTTAATTTTGAGTAATTTATTTCGGCAGTACCCAAAATTTCTACTTTATCATCTGTGCCTCACTTCTCCTCCCCCTAAATATCCTTCAGTTCTCTCACAAAAATGCTGAAATCACTTTTCATCTATTGACACCTACTCTTATATTGTTCTATTAAAATTCAAGGCATTTTGGGAAATATATTATTACACAAAGTGAAATATTAGTATTACAAGTGGCTTACAAAGTTCTTAATTTGATTAGGTGTAAGAGATGGGGACTTTAATTTTATGTGACTTTTATATAAAACTCCTAAAATAGTTAAAGCTCTCCTTTGCCATGCTTTTGAAAATTATATAAAATTATATCAAGATAACTGAGAAATAAGTGTATATTTACATTGTTATTAAAAATCAATTGTAGAAAAACTATAAGTAAGACCAAGAAATGCATTTTAACAAGAGAACATAAAGAAATGGGGCACATAGAAAAATACAAACAGGATGGAATAAATCATCATTCCCAAGTTACTCTGAGTAAATACGAACTTTACAGCTGTTTCCTAAGAGGAAGGGAAGAGAGTAATGAAGTGCCTTCAAATGTGCATTCCTGGAATAACTAGGACCATCTATCCTGGTAAATACAGAAGGGGGTAGGTGGGAAGGGAGTCAACATTGTCAACATTTAAGCAGCCTAGGCCTGACTATTCCAGGAATGAACTGGATGTGGCTCAGATTTTACTTTCTTTCCTTCACAAGTGATAAATCAACTTTACGCTTTAATGCATGTTAAAATGGGAGGGAGCAGAAAGAGTGCACCATTAGAGAGTGTGTGTATGTGTGTGTGTGTGTGTGTGTGTAGGACATGCATTTTACAGGTCTTATGGAAAAGGTATTAAACTGGAAGTTGGGACTTTGCAATTAACTAAGGGAGCTGGAATACATTATTAAAGTTCTGCTGGGTATCATGTTATGTAAGTTTGGTATAATACCCAACTCATAAGATTGATTGTAAACATGAGCAAGTATTTGGGAAATTGAAAAACATCATACAAATGCTTTGGGACATTATTATGATAAAGGCACTTTCGTCTTCCAGGCTTCTAGGAAACCACTAAGTTGATATGCAGTAGAGGAGTTAGGGCTTTGGCTTCAAAGTCAGAGATTCAAATCTCAGGGTTCACTACTTAACAGTTTCTTCAAATGTATCACAGGATAATAATAGTACCTATCTCATAATACTATGCATATAGTATGCTTCAGTTGATGAAGAAAACTTTGAATAATGCTTTGTAACCTTTGTGTTAGATTTAAATATTATTTTCATAACCATAATTATTAATTATCCATAAGAGCAACAGCAGTTGACATTTATTGAGCATTTACCATGTGCTATATATTGTTTTAACATTTAACATTTTTCATTCATTTAATTCTCACAACTCTATGAAGAAGGTATTATTTCTATTCCCATTATTACTGTTATTATTCCTATTTTACACATAAAAAATTAAGCTACAGAGAAATTATGACATGTGTCCAAGGTCAGTAAATAAGTAACTATTGAAGAGAAAATGCAAACTAGTAGTTGAAGATTAAAGCACAAGCCCAAACAATATGCTCTAATGCCTTCAAAAATTCAGTTTTTATCAATTTTTAGATGGTGACATTTAAAACAAAGTTTTTAGTATTGTGCCTGGTCTAGGGTAAGCACTTAGTAAATGATACTTGTTGCTATTATTTTAAGCTTACTATTTAAAAAATTTAAATTGACATATGATTCTTGAAGAAAAGCAAAGAGAGGTTTCTAAAATTTAAGTCCAATAAGAAAAATTTTGTGAAAAGTTTAAAGAGAACACTTAAAAATAATTTTTAAAAGTTCCTAGCATGTTTCATGAATTTAAGGTGGAGGATTAGGAAGTTATATGGATATTTTGGTGATACATTTAACTTCTATTTTTGTGTGTAAACCTATTTGGCTGTTGCAATTAATGAATAATCAAGACAATAAAGAAAAAAGTTAAAAACAACCAATAGTAATATGTATTTTGGATTACAGTCAGAAAATAAATTTAATACTATACCTTGGTTTTCTTGCTTAAACTGAGCCTATTAAAAGCCTGATAGTCAGTGATAGCATTCTTTAGAAATATTTAAAGACTGGTTAGTACATTATGAAGAAATAAGACAGTAGAAGAGTACAATGTGGAAATCTTCCTAAAAGTTCAATTTACTTTTTCTGAAAGTTCACTTATCTTTTAATGTAAACTTACAAAAAGTATAAATATAAATTTGAGGAGGTGACAAAAAAGAGGTGATATTTATGAAAATCCATCAGGTTTTAAGTTCATCAGCAGGTCAAGTATGAGGAGCACTTGAGAGAAAACTATCCTGTTCATCAGCTGAATCATATAAACACCAGATAACTTACCCCTTGGCCAACTGCAACCCGCTCCAGTGCCTTTAAGGAGAAAAAAAAAAAAATAAGACTAAGACGGCTGATATATTTAGTCTTATCATATAAGACTTATAAACATACTGTATAAAGGCTTGTAAAAGTGACATTTAAAAAGATTAATTAAGTGATAACATGTATGTTTATACACGTAAAAGTGTTAACATCATTAAGGAATGTTAACTAGTTTACTTATATAATTTAGGGCTGATTTATAATATACGTGTGTCACATACACAAACACACACCCCTACTGTATATAATCCTTGAATTTTAGAAGGCATTAGAAAACAGGAAAGAAATGAAATGACATATTCTTGGCTCACTTTTAGGGTAGCTAAAACAATCGGATAAATCTAGAGCTATTCTTATGCATATACATAGACATTTATATACTACTTTTAAGCTGTTTTCTTCTAATTTTTGTAAACATAGAAGGCATCTCTCATTAAAAAAATGAACAGATTATAAGTAAATGTTTAGTTAGAAAAGTACATATATTTTTGGTCTGCAAATTCAACTCAAATTCATACATGATCAAGTGCCAAGTAGAAGAGAAAGTTAATACATATTTTTATAATTTTATATGTAGCTGATTTTAAATTTGTATCTTCTTAAGATCCAAAATATTTTTACAAAAATCTCCTAATATTTCTAAAAAATACTCTTAACCCAATATATAAAAGATATATATGAAAGATTTATTAGAATTTAAATGTGGAATAGAGCCTACTGAAACTTTCATTTTTTAGAGACATACATTTCTACACTCACATAGTTTTATAAATAATTTAGATTAAAATATTTTAACTGACATTTTAATTAGAAAATATTTCAAACATAAAGAAAAGTACCAAAAACATAATGGATCTGCATATACTTTCTATTCAAATTTAAAATACCCATATTTGCTTCAGATTTCTGTTTTGATAAATAATACTTTTTAGATATAGCTGAATTATCATCCTATCTAATAATAGAGAAACATGGTAATTAACCATAACTTTGCTACCCTTCCCATTGACTAATCAGGGAGATATGCAAATTAACTGTCAACCAAGATGGCGGCCAGCAGCCATGCAGCTGAAGCAAACATGAGGCTTGCTTGCTCCAGTGACGGAGGAAGCCAAGGTTCCCCATCTGCTGCAGCCCAGCTCTGAGCTCCGGATGCAACAATGTTGCAATTATAGAAGCTAAACAAACCCAGATACCAGCTTTCAGCCAGCCACAGCCTCAGAGCTGGAGCCAGCTCTCCGCTCCAGTGACAGCTATAGAAGGTAAATAAATCCCAGAATAAAAAAAAAGAAAAAAAGGAGAGGTTGGGAGCTTCAGTCACCCGCCAGCCTGAAAATGGCCCTCAGCCCCTCGCCCAGGCTGGCCAGGCACCCCAGTGGGGACCCCCACCCTGAAGGGGGTGTGACCAGCTGCAAACAGCCATCATCCCCTCATCCAGGCTGGCCAGGCACCCAAACGGGACCCCCACCCTGATCCAGGACACCCTTCAGGGCAAACCAGCAGGCCCCCTCCTGTGCACCAGGCCTCTATCTTATATAGTAAAAGGGTAATATGCAAACTGACCCTAACAGCAGAAAGACTGGGAATGACTGGTCACTATGACACACACTGACCACCAGGGGGCGGACGCTCAATGCAGGAGCTGCCCTCTGGTGGTCAGGGTGCTCTCACATGGGAGGAGCTCTGCTCAGCCACAAACCAGGCTGATGGCTGCCAGTACAGCGGTGGTGGTGGGAGCCTCTCCTGCCTCCTCAGCAGCGCTAAGGATATCCGACTGCAGCTTAGGCCTGCTCCCCGCTGGCAAGTGGACATCCCCCAAGGGCTGCCGGGCTGCCAGAGGGATGTCTGATTGCCATCTTAGGTCCAATCCCCCGGGGAGCGGGCCTAAGCCAGAAGGTGGTCATCCCCTGAGGGGTCCCAGACTGCGAGAGGGCACAGGCCGGGCTGAGGGCCCCCCCTCCTCCGTGAGTGCACAAATTTTTGTGCACCGGGCCTCTAGTATAATTATAAAACTGAAGAATAATTTACAAAATATCTTGTTAAGTGCAATTTTCGCAGATGCACAAGGTCACTGATGAGGTAAAGTAATGTAGCTAGTTAGCAGCTGAGCAGGGACATAAAACTTGCTCTGTGAACTCTAATTTATTTCTCGTACTTCATACCATGTAGATTCAGTGGGAAGAAGAGTTCATTGTATGAAAATTTGTTTTACAGAAATTATTTTAGAAAAAAAGTAATTTTCCCATTGACTTGAAGGGTACCTTCACTGAATATCTAGTGCCAGAGTTTTATGAATACAGGAGATAATTATATAATTTTTCTATTAAAGAGAAATAGACCCAGAACAGGTTTATTATTGAAGAAAACAATGAGTTTTCATTTATAGTACTTGTACCAATTTCAAATTAGATTTTCGTTATGGCTTTTGCTAAAAGGCTGAACTGAATACAAAATAGTTTTTAACAATAAGTTATTTGATGTCAATAAAATATCACATAACACAAGGCTACTTTCAGTATGTGTTGCTGATGAGTTTATTTTAGAAATACAAATTATAAACTTTGATTACATAATAAAAGATAATCACATAGGTAATAAGAAGTGTCTTACAAATATTAATATTTCCCTTGGCCAACAAATAAAGATAATGAAGACAATATAGCAAGTATTCACTTCATACAAAAAATATTTTGCAGTTTTGTTAGGCTTAAAGTATGTTTACAAGATTGCACTAATCTAATTAAAAGTTTATTTCTGGTTAGTGCCCTTAACAATGTATCTGAAGGCATCACCAGAAAGGTATTTAAAAAACAACTACAGCATAAAAAAAGCCCCTTAAAAAAAAAAAAAAAAAGCTTTGACTATTCGTGGAACCGATCAGTTTTAGAGCAAAAGGCAATAAAACAAGATGCACCACAATAAATATTCCTTATGCTTTCCAGGATGACTCTAGCATCAAAAAAAGAAGTCCAGGTGGGCAGGAACTGGAATGAAATTTAGAGAGAGGCCTCCCACGGTCTACAAATTCTATATTTTGGAATTTACTTTTCAAAAACACTTCTTTTTATTTTTTTGAATGTTTATGCTTATAGTGTACATTCCTGTTTTGTGGATACATTCTTTTCTCTTTCTTTGGGATGTTAGTAACTATTTTCTTTTGGATAGTGTCCATTACCTCCAAGTTGCTTTTTTTTCTATTTGTTTATTGAATCTTGATTCTTTCATAGATTTTTAGCCATCTACTGACAATTCAAATGGGGATATCACAGACCTGAGTAGAAGCACTGTGCTTATGAGGGAGGACTATTAATTGTGGGCCTCACCATAAAGGTGAGATCTGTCCTGTTTCACTGAGAAATACCCTTTAGGCCTTTTCTGTTAGAATAGTCAGACTCCCTATATTGAAAGACTATTTCATTTCTTACCTGATGGCATGAGGTAGAATCCTGCCTGCCAGCATTCTTGGAACCAAGTCATTCTAAGAATGACCTGCCATTCTAACAATACCTTGAACATGTATCATTTACAGATATAAATAGAGAACAAGATAAGGTTGCAAAAAGGAATATTAAGAGGACATATAAAAATAAATTATTATTTGAGCATAAGTAGATTTCTAAAATAATTCTATGATACATGATTTAGAATACTGGTACACATTTTTTTATATTGCAATGTTATTAGCATAGATATAATGGTCTTATAATATTAATTTATCTTGGTGTTAAACATTAAACACATTATTTAATCAACCATATTTTAAATTTCTGATGACAAAAATAACGCACTGTTTGACCTGCAGCTGTTCCTTTTTAAACCATTATAGCACCAAAACCAGAGAAGACCATGGGATAAAGTGTTCTAGGTCTAAGGACATTAGACAAATCAAGCACAATAAAGGTTTTATTTAACTAGATAGTTATTTCATATTCCAGGTAGCTTAATAATATTTTTCCTATTCTATAAAAATTAGGAGACCAAATTATCTTCTATAAACACAAACACACCACAGAGCTGTGGATAGAGCACTGAACTAATTCTCTGTTTAAGACCTGGTTGCCCTGGCTGATGTGGCTCAATTGGTTGGGTGTTGTCTGTGCATTGAAAGGTTGTTTGTTCAATTCCCGGTAAAGGCACAAGCCCAGGTTGCAGGCTCGATCTTCAGTAGGTGTATGCAGGAGGTAGCCAATCAATGTTGCTCTCCCTCTCACCTTCCTCTCTCTCTAAAAATCAATAAAAAATCTTACAAAAAAAAAAAAGACTTGGTAGCTGGTACATTTTATATAACAACTGAAGTAATTATATTTAAAAATTAAGTAGATTATAGTATAACTATAAACTGTTACCATACTGCATGTAGAGTGATAATGTTGGGAGAGAAAGTGCTTTTTCCCATAATTTGAAATGCATCAATGATGATGCTCTGCAAAATGTGGCATTTAATGCATGGTATTAGCCAAAAACAATACATTCTGCAACATCTGGATAAAGTTCTTAGTCCAGAAAAAAATGCAATCATACCAAACATGCTGACATTCTGGCATTGCGACCACACGACCATCTCTCTTCCTTTAAATAGTGGCACATTGGAAATCCCCACTTTTCTTGGGTACATTCTGCAGATGGGGGAAAATATGGATTATTTCAATAAAATTCTTCCTCTTTCAGTTAAAGTAAATAATCTATTGAGAAAGCAAATCAATCACTGAGAGAGTCAAACAGTAGTTCAACATGAAAGTGGTAATGTTTAACAGTTCATTCCAGATTCTTAATTGAAAGCATATTAATGTAATGAAAATGGTATTTTCTCAACAACAGCTGTTGGTGTTTAAGCGCCAACAATTTAAAACCAACCAAAATTATTTCTGTAAGATTTAGCAAAAGCAGTTTAAAATAGAAATACTTTTCATGTTCAGTGTATAGTAGATGATTAATGAGATACTGGACATTTATTGCTGACCTGACTTTCTAGAAAAATGATCTATCAAATATGACATTTGGCAGTTTATTACAGAACAATATTAATTCACTCCTAACAATGTTGAAGTATCATTTTTTTCAGCCACTGTTCACTTTTCAAAAAAAAGAACAGCTGTAAAGGCTTTTCTTTTTTCATCATATTAAGAGGCTGAAATATTTTCAACTGTGATTCAATCTGGCTCAATTGCATTTATGGTTCAAGTAACAATAACAAAAATCAACATTCATTGCTTGTCCAACTGATGTAGTTACATATTCAACTTGCTGATGCTTAAAAACCTTATGTAGAACTATTACAAAGTTTTTGAAAAAGAAAACCAATTTCTATTTTAAATTAAAGCCTGAAAAATAAGAGCTTAAATTTTATCAAAACTGTGACAAAATAAAATTGTGATAAGTGAAATTATTCTATTAGATTAAAATGAAAAACCGAACTAAAAACTTGAAAACAAGAAAACTCTAAAAGAAAATATGGAGGCAAATTCCATTAAATAAACTTTTGTGCTATGTAGGATCAGATGATTTTAGATTAAAATAAAGAAAGTTTAAATTTCATAGCGATCATAAGCCTGTGAAAATGTTTTCTTTCAGGTAATAACTTAAGATTTATAATAGACCCTACTAATAATCAGATGGAAGATATGGACCTCCCGGGAATGGAAATAATAATGCTACTATTTACATAGCATTTAATATTTTTAGCACTATTATAAGTGTTTTAAATGTATTAACTGGTCCCCACAGCAATTCTATGAAGTAGGTATACTCTTATTCTCATGTTTCAGATAGGGAAACTGAGCACAGAAAGGTTAAGTGAATTGCTTGCCTAAACTGCAAATCTAGCACATGGCACAGCTTGAATTTAATTCCAGGAAGTCTGATTTCAGAGGCCACGCTCTTAACCTCCAAGATATATAAACAGCTTCACTTACAATTACATAGGACTCATGGAGCCCTTGAAACTTATCCAGGTCCTAGGGACCCTGGACCACTTCCTCTGTTTCCAAGATGACTTGAAACAGAGGCTTGAGAGGGCTTTATGATTTAACTCAGACAATTATTTCTAAATGAAAGGGCTACTATAAGTAGTTTAATTTTCTTCTTACAAATAGACAGAAACACCTAGATCTTACTGTAAAGGGTAAAGCATTACAGAGATGGAGTTCTTCCTCCTCTCCATCCATTCTCTCTTTGTCCCTTGTATTAAGATAGCGCTCAATTTTTAGCTGTTCAGATTAGAGACTGCAATTCCCAGACTCAAGTGCAGCCATTAGGATAGCTACAAGACTAAGTTTTGCAGAACTGAATGTGGGCAGAAATGATGTGTGCAAATTCTAGGTCAGATGCTCAAAGGGAGGGGGAAGCCACCTAGGACCATGTAAACGAGCAGCACAGGATGGCGCAACAAAATAAAAGGATTCTGGGTTCTTGGGAGACTTTCCGTTATAGAGCTCCGCTCCAATCACCTACTTTTGGATTGAAAAGTAAATTTTCCCTCTGTCACTGTTACTTTGAGTCTGAACAACTTCACATCTAAATCTTTATCTTAATGCAATGCTTTCCAAACTTTTTATAGCTCAGCACTCTCGGAATATGGCAAAATTTGTATGTCAAACTGGAATAATCAGAATATGATGATTGTGTTGAAGCAAAACCCAGGGGATGCAGGAAGCCGTGTCTCAGAAACACTCACAAAGTATCCACAGTTGGATAGTTTTGTCCTAATTATGCAGAAGTCTTCTTTGAGGGTGTGATATTTGAGCAGAGACTTAACTGAGGAAGCATACCATGAGATTAAGGGAAGATCTAATGAAAGAAAAAAAAACCCAAAGAAACAAACTAGGTTTTAAAAGAATTAGTTAATACCAAAAAACATAAAACTAGCTTATCTTATAATTTAAAATGATAATACTAGCAATTTCCTAACTTGTAATATCTCAACCAAGTGCCTAAAAAATGAACTTGTTATACTGGGAAAGAGGAGACTAAAGTCAACTTATTGCACAAAAGTGAAGAGAAACCCACTTAAAAAATATACAGTGAATTTGTAATGAAAGATATAATTAGTGTACCATCACTGCTCTGCAATTCACCTTATACTGCTAGGAAAAAAGCATGTCTACTTGCCTGAAAAAGGTAGAACAATCCTACCTCAGTAATAATCTAAAGAAAACTTTGAAAAAGATGACTACTTAATATTAAATTGCAAGTACAACAGTATTTCTGGAAAATTCATTCCATTGAAAGGGATATACTGTTTCTAGGAAAAAGAATAGAATATAAGAAACTCACACCCAAGTTACTCCCAAATTCTTGATCCACAGAAACTGTGAGAAATAATAAAAATTATGTGGCTTTAAGCCATTTAATTTTGGGGTGATTTCTCAAATAGCATTAGATGATACACAGTGTAGAAGTAGCATTAAGGAAGCTAATTATCTCACACAAGTTATGTGAAACAGAAAAATCCACTGCTTGAGGTATATGGGAAGTGTGTTTCTTTAGGAAAAAGTTAGGTTTTTTATTAGAAAGAGAATAAAGGAAATTTCAGAGAAGAGGTTACAGAACATATGCAATTTTGATAATGACAGACTGAATTCTGAAATTTGAAATTTTGAAATTTGAGGAAAGGTGGAAGACAAGTCACAAAAGATGATATAGATACATTTGATTAGAGGTACCCCTCTGGATGCTGACTCATATGGACTTTGTCAATTGGTTCCTATACCATCTAGCTGTTGACTGTGTTTGGCCAATGGTGAGTCTAGGCAGAAGACTGGAGACAGAAAAGACTAAGGTCAGAATATTCATACTTTTGGCTGCCTCTCTGAGGGGCAGCCACCCACTGATTGAAGGTCACCTCTAAAGGCAGCCAATTCTTAAATCATTCTCCTTTAAGGTTTCAGTTACTTCTTTCTCCCCTTACACAGGCATGGTAAGCCCCCAATTTCTACACTATTTCCCTTCCTCTTCACCTGTATCTTTGTAAATAATCCAAAAAATAAACTCAAAATGGATAAAAGACTTAAATGTAAGACGGGAAACCATAAAAATACTAGAGGAATCCACAGGCAGCGAAATCGCAAACATATACCGAAGAAACTTCTTCTCTGATAATGCTCCTAGGGCAATGGAAACTAAAGAGAAAATAAACAAATGGGACTACATCAAAATAAAAAGCTTTTGCACAGCAAAGGAAACCATCAACAAAACAACAAGAAGACCCACTACATGGGAGAACATATTTGCCAATGATACCACCGATAAGGGTTTAATTTCCAACATTTACAGGGATCTCATGAAACTTAACAAAAGGAAGATAAACAATCCAATAAAAAAATGGGCAAAGGACCTAGATAGACACTTTTTGAAAGAGGACATACAGAAGGTCGAAAGACATATGAAAACATGCTCAAAGTCACTAATTATACGAGAGATGCAAATCAAAACGACAATGCGTTATCATCTCACACCTGTCAGAATGGCTATCATCAACAAATCAACAAACAAGTGTTGGAGAGGATGTGGAGAAAAAGGAACCCTTCTGCACTGCTGGTGGGAATGCAGACTGGCGCAGCCACTATGGAAGACAGTATGGAGCTACCTCAAAAAACTAAAATTGGAACTCCCATTTGACCCAGTGATCCCACTTCTAGGAATATATCCCAAGAAACCAGAAACGCCAATCAGAAAGGATATATGCACCCCTATGTTCATAGCAGCACAATTCACCATAGCTAAGATTTGGAAACAGCCTAAGTGCCCATCAGCAGATGAATGGATTAGAAAACTGTGGTACATATACACAATGGAATACTATGCTGCGGTAAAAAAAAAAAAAAAAAAAAAAGGCACTCTTGCCTTTTGCAACAGCATGGATGGAACTGGAGAGCATTATGCTAAGTGAAATAAGCCAGTCAGAGAAAGATAAATACCACATGATCTCACTCATTTGTGGATTATAGAGAACAACATAGACTGATGAAAAGGGACAGACCCAAAGACTGAGAAACAGCAATCAGGCTATCAATCCCCAGAAGGAAAGTAGGGGAGGGCGGGGGTAAGGGGAAGAGATCAACCGAAGGACTTGTATATATGTCTTTAAGCCAAACCAATGGACATGGACAACAAGGGGATGGGAGCATGAGTGTGCGGGGGGGGGGGGGGGGGGGGGGTGGGGTTAATGGGGGGGATGAGGACACATTTGTAATACCTTAACTAATAATAATAAAAAAAAGAAGAAACATAAAAAAAAAATCCATTTGTAAACAAAATTCAAATTATTCTAATTGATGAGTACCATCTGCTTGTTTAACTCCCTGATTCCCATTTCTCTTAGAGTAAAAGACTTGTAGTGTCCTACACAGCTCTATAAAAACCTCCACCCAAAGCTCTGACCTCTCTTATCTCCTCTCCTCTCCTACTGTTCCCTAATCTCCTACTGTTCTTGTTATTCCTCAAACACACCAGATTGTCTTCTTGTATGGAATGATTTTCCCCCAGCTATCTACTTTGTAACTCACTTACCTTTTTCAACTCTTTGCTGAAATCTCACCATTTAATGAGGCTACCTCTGTCTCCCTATTTAATTTATTTACTTAAGTTATTTATTGTTTATTGTGTCTACCCCCCTCCC